GGGCCACGCCGCCGTCATGTGCTGAGTGCGTCCACCGCCCCACTTCCTGGGAGCCTCAGGGGACATCGGCCGGTGGGTGTGTTTCCCCTGCTTCACCCCACGGACCCTGAGGTCGCGGCACCGAACTGCCCAGCCTGCCTGCACCTGCTCAGGTCCTGCCCCGGCCCCGGCTCCTCGATGACGGCCCCGCTGTCAACTGCCACTCCACAGACCTGATGCCAGCTCCGAGCCCAGCCCTCTCCCCTGGTTAAGTCCTGTCAGCACCTACTGCACTCTGACCTCTTCCATCTCCGTCTAAAGCCAGCCAAGCGGAACCACCACCAAAGCCCCTTCTCCGGTCACCTCCCGGCGGACGCCCACCTCTGTTCTCTCAGAGCTGTGCACCCGGCCCATGCGGCTCTCCCGTTCCCCTGCTGCGGGCCCGGCAAGGTCGCCTCTGACAGAGCAGCGTCTGAAGTGGGGGCAGCCTTGTGGGGGCCCTGACATGCCCTCCTGCCACCGCCCCACCCATCTCCTGCCCTTCGTCAAGTCTCCACACAGAACACTTAAAACTTAACATTTAACCAGATCACGCTCCAAGCCCTCCAAAACCTTGCCATCTCTCCCAAACATAACCCCGAGTTTTTGCCATGACCTATGAGGCCCACAAGGCCCGGGCCCTGGCCTTCTCTGCAATCCCCCGCCCTCCCCACTCCCCGCCCCGCTCCTGGCTCACCAACAGGCGTGCGCACAGCTCCTCCCGCCTGACCACCGCACTCCACCACACTCGCTCCTGCGCTGGACCCAGCGCGGCGGACCCTGCTGCTGGGACACTGTTCCCCACATCTGCCGGGCTTGCTTGCTCCCTCCCTCTCCCCTCCAACCCCACTCCCAGATCTCTGCTCAGAGGCTCTGCCCTGTCCCCCTATTTAATAAAACACACACCACACCCTCCCTCACCGGGCACTAAGCCTCGCTCTGTTGGCCCCCATGTCACTGGAACTGACGCTCCCTGAGGGTGGGACTGTGGCGCGTTCCTGGCTGCCACCCTGTGCCCAGAACACTGCCTGGCATGTCGTAGACACTCAGTAAATATTTGTGGAGGAGCCCTAGCTGGTTTGGCTCAGTGGACAGAGCGATGGCCTGTGGACAGAAAGACCCCAGGTTTGATTCTGGTCAAGGGCACGTGCCCTGGTTGAGGGCTCAATCCCCAGTCGGGGACGTGCAGGAGGCAGCCGATCAATGATTCTCTCTCATCGTTGATGTTTCTCTCTCTCTCTCCCTCTCTCTTCCTCTCTGAAATCACTAAAAATATGTGTGTGTTTTTTTAAATCTGTGGATGAGCAAGGACAAACCACCACTTCCCACCCCTCCTGGCCCCCAGGCTGGAGGGCTGATCTCAGATGGTTTAACGTGTCCTTTAAAACAAGACGCAGGACGCTGTGAGAACTGGAGGGCTGGTCTCAGATGGTTTAACAACGTGTCCTTTAAAACAAGACGCAGGACGCTGTGAGACAACGGGAATCTAGGAGCAACGGCTTATCTGGCACATCAAGCAATCTTTACAATGAAACATCTTTGCATTTTAGCTGCCTAATGAATGCAGACCCTTTTTAAAAAAACAATCACTTTCTGTATATAGCTCTTCACATCTAAGTCCTAAAAGCTGCCACCTGCAGGGGTCTGAGATGCTGATTTTATCCCAAACGTGCTTTTCAAATGCATTTCATGGTTTGATCTCGCCACACAGTATTCTGCTTCCGGGGCCATCGCTAACTCAACGGACCGGCTCCCGGACACGCCTGTGGGTGGCAGGGACACTCTCCCCTGAAAGCTGCCTCACGACCTGGTGCCCGGCGACTCTCCCGGTTCACTGACACCCCCGCCCCCGCTGGAGCCTGCCTTCCCTGACCCCCTCGCACCTGCTCCCGTCTCTGCCTCCTCTCACTGCTACTGCCACCTGCGATGAGCGGTCCTCTCAAACCTGCCCTCCCCTCAGGCTCAGCTCAAGGCACCCACTGGAAGCTCCTTTGATCCCTCATCCCTCGGACAGAGTTACCGTCTGCGCCTGGATGTCTGTGAACTCTGCATTGCTCACCACACCTCCCGTGACCTGTGCTGGGGCCCTGCTGCCCGTTCTGACGAGGTCATGGCTCCCTGAGGGGCGAGGCGCCCGCACCGAGGACAGCTCCGGGGCACAGCGGCTGGTGCCAGCTGGCGACCTCAGCTACTAGTAAACGCTCGGGGTTCTGACCCACGTGTGGCTGGGCAAGCCACGCCCAGCTGTCCACACATGCACTGCCCGCAGCCGCACTGCCCGGCAGCAGGTCAGTCTGGGCTCGCAGTGACCTCAGGGTCGCCCAGCCTGTGTCCTCGTTTCAGAGATGAGATCGCAAGCTGGGAGTGGAGATGAGGTCCGAGTGTCCACAGCGAGCTGCGCTGTCACCCCGGAACCCAGGGGCCCCGACTCCTCCCGGTCACAGGCCCCTGCCTCACTGGTGGAGTGGTGACCGCAGGAACCCACGAGGCCCGAGGGGAGAGGAGCGACAGCCTGGGAACAGTCAGTTCCCCTTCTCGGTGTCCCGGCTGCAGAGGGCTCCCACCTGAGGCCCCGACGGGCTCGTCCATCTGAGGACACGGTGACACTCACTCCTGCTAACTCTCAGACGCTGACTTCCGGTTACAGGAATAAAAAATTTACACCGAGTAAGGCAGGAACTCAGACAATTCTCGTCCAAATGTGGCCCCCGAAGCACCCGCTCGCTCAGTGGCCTAGGTATTTCAGGAAACATCCTTCTATTGAACGTATTTGAGTGTGAGAGTTTCACGTGCCTTCCCTTTGTACCTGCTACAGTTCTTTTTAATCAATAACCAAGCAAGCTTTTGCCATCAATACCCTCTGTGAGCCAGGTGTAATCAGCCTACAGCTCATCCCTCATGGGCTGACCACATCAGACAAGTCATTATGTTCAGCAAAAAATAAACAAGGAGAACTGCCGGGTGCTCTGCGTCTCTGGGCCGGCAGCGACCTGCCAGACCGGGTTGCCTCAGCCTGCCTGCAGCGCCTCACATTTAAGAGGGACCCCGTTCAAGGTCAGCAGAGCCAGGGAAGAGGAACAGCCAATCCTAACTCCAGCGGCAGCTCCTCCTGGGTCTCTGGCTGCGAACCCTCCCTCTAAGCATCTCTGGGCAACCACGAATGTGACATCCAAAGAAATGGCCTGGACTCACTCACCCACGAGCGAGTCGCACGGGGTCCGGGAGGCAGAGACCACGCCTACCTCATCGTCCCCCAGCCCGAACCAGGGCCCGCACACCACGGGCACGCAGTGACCGCTGGGCGATGAAGGAACGGGAGCTGTCTAGGCTCACTAATCACCTCCTTGCTTGTCTCTGGGTACTGACCTCGGGGTTCCCTCCGCCACCCCCGCTGACGCCCAGGCGGAGGCACGTCCCTCGGCCAGTCACCCACAGTCAGCATTCCGTGCTCCGCGCGGGAGTCGGGGAGCGGGGGGCCCGCTCTGTACTTACTGGCTCACTTTGTGGTACAGCTTCGCGATGCCCTGGTGGGTCCAGTCCTTCCCCAAGGTGGGCAAAATGTGGCCCAGAGTGTCTGACCTGCGTAAGGAGAGAAATGAGAAAAGTAACAGAGAGAGGGCGTCGCAACAGGGAGAACACTTCCGTTCCAACTCACGGCACCAGAAACGCCTCAGGAAACTGCCAACAGGACCCACACGGTCCGGCCGGGGGTCCAGGAGGCACAGACCAGCACGAACCCCAGGAGACGCTCACGGGAAGGGGCTGTGCTAATACGCGAAGGGCCCCGCCCGCCTGAGCGAGGATCGGGGCCTGGACCGTAACCGGCGTGAAGAGGCCACTGAGCAGGCTCTTCAGCCCCGTCCACGAGAACAGGTGAGGCGCCACCACCCGGCGGGCTCGGCCAGCGAGCCCTACAGGAGCTGCTGGGCCCAGGAGGCGTGGACCCCGAAGCAGCCCCTGCACAGACACCGGGCGGGACGGGCCCCCGATGCCACAGGCAGAGGACGGAGGGGCTGGCGCAGGCCCAGGGGTCACAGTGAAGTCGGCCGGACCCACCTGGTGATGGTGCCGTCGATGTCGGAGATGATCACCTTATCGTCCCAGTTCCACAGGTAGATGGTGCCCTCGCAGCGGCAGGTGCCTTGGTACTGGGTGGTGACGCTGAACACCACGTCGTTGGGGCCGTTCTTCAGCTTCAGGCTTTTCTGGAAGACACAGCGCGTCCTCCTGAGGGGAGGCCCGGACGGGGGCTGCTGGCGCGTTTCACGAGAAGCGGGGTGAGGAGTTTGGGGGTTTATTTGGAGAAGAGGTGAATTTTTTTATTATCTTTGTTGCTGAAAGTGTTACAGATGCCCCCTTTTCTTTCCCCATTTACCCCTCCTCCTCACTCCTGCCCCCTCCGGAGGCCTCCCCGCACTATTGTCTGCCCATGGGTTGTGCATATGTGCAAATAAGATCTTTGGTTAATCTCTCCCCCCGCCCCCTTCCCTCTGAGATTGGTCAGTCTGTCCCAGGCGTCCACGTCTCTGGATCTACTTTGTTCCTCAGTTTATTCTGTTCATTAGATTCCACATATGAGTGAGATCATGTGACACTTGTCTTTCTCTGACTGGCTTATTTCGCTCAGCATGATGCTCTCCAGGCCCGTCCCTGTGGTCTCACAGAGTAAGGGATCCTTCTTGTTCACTGCTGCGTGGTATTCCGTGGTGTGAAGGTACCAACCAGCAGACGAGTGGCGGTCTCACAGAGTAAGGGATCCTTGTTCACTGCTTCGTGGGATTCCGTGGTGTGAAGGTACCAACCAGCAGACGAGTGGTAAGAAGGCGGTGGCACATGTACACAAAGGGCCTCTGACTCTCTGCCCGGGGCCCTGGGCAGGGCTCGCTCCGGTCCTGCTAAGACCGGAGGCTCCTTCCAGGCCCTGGAGAGGAACTCGCGTCTCTCACAGTGGAAACACCTGGTCTGGCCTGTCCGTCACCCACACCTCAGTGGAGGCTCCTTCCAGGCCCTGGGGCTGAACGCGCGTCTCTCACAGTGCAAACACCCAAACACCTGGTCTGGCCTGTCCGTCACCCACACCTCAGGGTGAATTCGCTGCACCTCCTCCCGCACGTGAAATAGGAGCGTCCGGGGCTGCGTCAGAGCAGGTGAGGGGAGGCGACCCTGAGGAGCCAGCCGGGACCATGAACATCGGGGCAGAGACACGGGATCCCAAAAGGGCAGCGGGTGCGCTGGGATGCCAGCGTGCCAGGAAGCAGTGGGAGCCTGAGCGGAGGGACACCCAGACCATCGCGCGCGA